CACGTCTGCCATGGTGTCTTGACCAATGTTTGAGCTAGATTTGTTTCAAATTTCAAAGGACCAAGGTGCTAGAGGGATTTTTAAGGACGAGACCGTCAAAAAGTGCACATGATTTGTAGCATGAAGATTGATGGTGATTTGTTAATGGACCGCAGCTTTGTCGTTCGAGCTTGGAAGGTGATTGGACACAAACCGGATCCATGGGCACGTCTGTGGAGAAGGTTCCTGCTGGGCAGAACCAGGATGCTACTGCACTATTTTGGTGCAACACGTGCAAGTGGTTGTTCAAGAATGAAGATGCCCATGGGTTGAACAAAACCCTTGAAGGTTTTAGCTGTGGGAAGTGCAAGAGTGAGATCACCGTGATGGGATCTGCAGCTCGGCTCAGCATGCTTTCAACATGCGTGAGAAGGATAAGACCAAGCGATGGGGGTCGAAGGGTGAAAGCAAAGGCCCCACTTCAGACAAGGCGCCTATCACGCCAACGCACCAGAGTGAAGGTGAGGTGCCTATCACTCCAGCCCCTAGTGGGGCAGTGGAAAGCAGTAGTGGCTCTGTGCAGCCAGATCCACTGTTTCCCTGGTTTTCGGATCTTAGTGATCAGAAGGGTACCCCTGAGTGGTACAATGATATGCATGGTGCGGTGTCGAAAGGGCAAGCCGTATCGGGAGCTGGTGGATAAGTTTGAGCGGTTCATCTCCTTGTTGAACGAGGAGGGGATGACTAAGTACAGCAAGGACTACACGTCCTTGAAGCACCAGAACAGAGATCTGTTTACGGCTTGCGAGGAAGCCGGGAGCTTTGCAGCTTTGGAGAAGATGATCATGGTGATTGACCTGAGAGGTCAATTTGGTGGCCAGGCTGCGCTTTGGGAAGTGGTGACCACTTCGGGATGTTTGCTTACGGAGGTTCCTTATGGGACCAGCGGTCTGTCCCTAGCTACCTTTGTGTGTGGGTTGTGCCAGAAGGGTGCAACGCCTCTGGTGTTGGTTGGAGATAACCCCGATATCAGTGTTCGCAGGATGATGGATTTGTTTTCTATGCTGCCAATGATTGGAGCTGAGATTTGTGTCGAAAGCTCGGCGCAAAAGGATCAGCATCCTGAGTGGTTGAAGGAGTGGCAGAGAACGGATTGCCTGCCACTGAATGTGGTGTGCAACGGCATCCGCTGGGTTGCGGACTTAATGTGTCAGTCGGTGGTTAACAAGGACCGTACTGTCTCGCTCCGAGATAGTGGGTTCTCTTGAACTGAACGAAGGCCCTCGCGTGGGCCGCCTTGGACAAAAACCTAAGAAAAATACTTTGCTGATGTCAGCTTGAATTTCTTTGACAGCTTTCAAGTTTTATTAAAAATATTCTCTGCTTGAGCTTGCAGTTTACTGCTTCATGCATACTGAACAAGCCAAGAATTCTCTTGAATTCATGTGCAGTCGAGTGCTCAAGCTGAGCGAAAATTTTGTGGGGCTCTCTAGAGACCTGTAAGCTCTTCCTAGCAGGTCCGTGGCCCCCTTACTCCGGTGCTTTAGGCTGTCACGACTGCCCCCTCTGTGTCAAGTGCTGCAGGACCTGTTCAGGTTGTTCGTGTCAGGCCCCGATCCTTCCACTTGCCTGCTCTTACCAGTTCTGCGCCGCGAGCCACGCCGCTTGAGAGGATTGTGCTAGAGCGACCGGAGCGCCCTGAGCTCTCCAGCCTGGAGCTCTGCCTCGGCAGTGCAACGATCGGTGCCTCAGTACTTTTGTTCACCGACGCATCAACGTGGTGCCGGCTGTCTTCTTGCAGTTGCGAATCCCAGCTGTGCTTGCTGCACCATTTGCATCTTGAAGCCTAGGCTCACCTAGTGTTCACGTCATGCTTCCCTCCAGCTTGGGGAATGGGCCTAAGGTGGGGGGTGAGGATGAAGTAGGAGATCAGTCGGCACAGTCGTCTAATGAGCAGACGGCACAGTCTTCGAATGAGCAGGTGGCACAGTCTGCGAATGAGCAGGTGGCACAGGTTTTTGGAGATCAGGTACCACCAGCTTTCCCGCCGGAGCCTCCAGCAGTGCTTGAATCTCTTGACATAGGTGGAAGCCTGTCCTCGGGTAGCTTCAGTCGTGTGAGTGCTTTCCCTTTCACGATTCATGAGTTCCCGTTGCCGGCGCCTGAATTGCCGGAAGACTGGGACGATGTTGGTGATGGCCTGGACCGCTCCCCAGATTTGCAGTCGCAGGCCTCGCATGATGGAGTCTTGTTCAGAGGTGGCCTTAGTTCGCCTGGCCCCTCCTGGGGCTCACCGACTTTCAATGCATCTCTTGTTCAGGATGGTGTGTTTGCCGAAGGCTCTGCTGGGTCAGCAACTGTTGGTCCTAGTCCAGGGCCCTCAGGGCAGACCGACTTCACTTCGCATCAGGCACCTGTGGATGATGCCGTGGGCTCCTTCGTGGGGAGCATAGTTAAGGGTGATGTTGCAAGGTTTGGCTCGCTCTTCAATGGTCGAGAGGAAGCTTGACCAAGGTGTGAGCATGTGGAGTCAGCTTGTTGTCCGATTCGCAGAGTGCTGCTCCCTCCATGATTGTGTGGTCGAGGGGCTCGAGGCTGGCGCGGAGGTTCCTGCAGCAGTGTCTGCTGCAGTGGCGGCAGCGGTGGGAGTTAAGTCTCCCCACACCATCCACAAGCGAGCTGCTTCCTTCTGGTCTTTCGTTCGATGGCTGGATGTTCACGAGCCTCTCTCGGCTAACAAGTTGCATGAGGTTCAGGTCTGGAATTATGTGCAGCACCTTAAGGCGACGGGTGCACCTGCGACCAAGGCCTCCTCAGTGCTTAGCGCTTTCAGGTTTGCACACTTTGTGTTGGGCTTTAGGATCGATGTTATCGTGCAGTCCAAACGAATCGGAGGAGCAGCAGAGCAACAGCTTGTGAATTTGAGGAAGCCTCGGCAGGCCAAGGACCTCACGGTTGCACAAGTGCTCGAGCTCCATGTCAGGAGAGTTGCATGCTTTTGATAGGGCCTTCCTCGCTTCTTTGCTGATAAGACTGTATGCAAGGGCTCGGCCGAGCGACCTTCTGTTCATCGAATCTATCGAAATTGATTGCCCTGAAAGTGCCGATTACCCTTTACTGGTTTTTGAAGTGTCCCAGCATAAGGGCGCGAGAAAGGTTCAACTGAAGACTAGGCTGCTCCCGATCTTGGTTCCTATGATCGGAGTGCATGGCAAGTGCTGGGTGGATGAGGCAGTTAAAGCCTTCCGTGATGCAGGGAGGGCTTGCGAGATATTAAGGGCCCGCTGACCTTTGCACCTTCCGACGAGTCTGGGGCTGTGCTCTCCAGAAGGTCGGTCACATCTGCAGAAGTAGACCGTGCGCTCCGGGCCTTTTGGGAGTGCCCGAAGAGGTATTGGACCCTGCAGCGCCGAGGATCACTGCATATTCCTTGAGGGGGACTTGCTTAGGTTGGGGTGGAACGTTCGGTTTCGACGAGGATTTAAACAGTGTCTTGGGCAGACACTCGTCTTCGATCAGGACGACACAGGCCATCTACAGCCGAGAGCTCTGCGCCGCTCCTGCAAGGCGGTTGCAGGACATGATCCGTGAGATAGCCGAGGGCCGCTTCTTCCGGGACAACAGTCGCTCGAGTTATTTCCCAAGCTTGTCAAAGCCAAGGCCAGCCGAAGGCTCGAGTGCTGCAGGCGAAGAGGGCAGGAAGCCGACTCAGGTGAAAGTCGAGGTGGTTAGCAGCGACGAGTCTGATCAAGACCCGCAGGACTCGTCGGAGAGCGATTCCTCCAGGTCATCCTCCACGTCTTCAGCTGGGGATGAAGCCCCGCCGGTGGTCAAGAGGTGGAGGCGGGCCAAGGTGGAAGATGCGGATCAGGTGTGGTACATCCACACTGTCAGTGGAGTTTTGCACCTCCTTGCAAGTCCGGAGGATGTTCCGATGTTGCTCGCATGTGGGCGACCTGTGACCACGAATTACAGGAAAGCCTCGGAGGACGAAGTGTGCAGAGGTGTTGAGTGCCGGACTTGCCAGCGAAATGTATGAAAAGTGTGCGAAGCGCACGCTTGACATCGAGGATATGCGAACCGACAAAAGAAGGTCGGAGAGCGAAGTGCTCGGAGTGCATGTGCTCAGAGTGTGTTGCCGAGTTTTGCATTTGCACTTTTCGGTTGTCCGATTGAGTGAGCTTCGCGAGTGACTGCTGCTAGGGCTCAACATGTCGTCCTTGGTAGAGAGTACTCATCACTTCAAGTCGCGATGTACCGAGGTGGGCCTTAGCCGCGAAACCCTTCGGGCTTTCGCCGATCATGGCATCGATACGCTGAGCAAGCTCGCATACTCGTGCGGGCAGCCTGGTTCTCCTCTTCCTCAGACAGAGTTTGATGATTTCGTTGCAAACTTGATCCCTACAGCTCTTTTGGAGGAGAAGGGCAGTGTAAAGCGCCTTCTTTTTGAAAGCCAGGCCTTGCTGCTGAATGACTTGAGAGAGCAGGTTACCCAACCTGATAAATGGTCTACGAAGGATGTTCCCACGGTTGAACGACAGAAGAGGATGGAGGCTGTCAAGGCCAGCATACCAGGAGTGGTCGTCGAAGGGCCACTTGAGCCTTCGCACGGCTTGTTGAATGCAGCCTGCAGGATGGAGCGAGAGGGGCAGCTGCGCTACATTGCTCCCGAGCAGTGTGGTACAAGGATGTACGAGATTCAGAACGTAAAAGCCCAGAGCAAAGTTCTTTCTCTTGAGGAAGGGAAGCTTGCTATCTCCGAGGAGAAGGGGCTACCAGAGGTTGCATGTGGTTCGGCATTATTGCTTCAGGAGGCCCTGAAGAGGAGGGGGGTCGCTTTGCAATTTGCTGGGGTGGCTTCCTTCCTGGCACATGAGAAGTACATACAGAAGTTGTTCTCCCACATGGGGCGAGAGCCCCCGCCGGGGCATGCTCGTACGAGTGTGCATCAGTTGCTGACTGCAGACAAGCATGTGTGGACGAAGATGATTGAGGATGAGGTTTCAGCTAAGCGAGGCCCCGACGGCCGGTACCCAGTTGACGATGCACTGCTGCCTGCATTACAGTCATATGATGTCACAGTGTGCTTGCTGCCTCGTGAGGCAGCTCGCGAGGGCAAAAAGAGACCAGCACCCCCGAAGAAGTTTGCACAAGATCGCGACCCGAAAATCCCGAAAGGCGACCCCAACAAAGGCAAAGGTAAAAACAAGCGTGCGACTTGGCAGCCCAGTGTGCCTGAGGCGATCCGCAAGTTGGGCGGCCACGCCCAGACTCCAGATAAGAAGCGCATTTGTTTCTCCAGAAACTTGCCGTGTGGGTGCAATTTGGATCCGTGCCCTAAGGGGTTGCATGTGTGTGCATTGTGCTTCTCCCCGGACCATGGCCTTCAGGAGTGCCCCAAAAAGGCGAAGTGAGCTGGGCCCCACACCAGGGCATCCTCCACTACAACCGATGACAGTGTGGGCACCGCGGCGAAAGTCGCAGAGCCTTCAGCTGGAGGTTTTGATGTTCTTATGCCAGATGCAAATCGGCTGCCATTGCATGGGTCAGAATCCGTTGATGCAGTGCACCCAGCCGAACAATTTTGCTTGAATTGTGTGCATGCCAGTCCTCAGGACATTCTGCCTTTGATTTCGCTTTTGGAGAGTGAAACGCCGAGCAGAGGCCAATCTGGCCCGAATACTTTTTCGTGGACTTCGGGTGCCTATGCCAAGGGCCCCCTGCGAGGTCTAAGAAAGCATACGAGTGCTTTCCCAGCCTGTACGCGCTTGCTTTGTCAGCTTGTGCGAATTTTTCCGGATGCAGATTTTTCTGCTGTGGCAATCTTTAAGAACCTTCGGACTTCTTTGCATGTTGACATAAACAACGAGGTGGACTCGTGTAATTACTTGATTCCGGTTACTAGCTTCAAAGGAGGTGAAGTGTGGCAGCAGGGTCCTGGTACACATGTCGTGCAGGACGAGCTGGGCTACAACCTCACAGGCTCATTGCTGCGGGTTGCAGATGGGCCTTGTGTCTTGAACCCCAGGGTCACACATTGCACCTTGCCTTGGACCGGGGATAGGGTTTTAGTTGTCGCCTTCAAGCTCGCGCATGCTTCCGACTTGTCGCTTGCCTTTCGTGAACAGCTCATAGGGCTAGGCTTCCCGGCTAAATCGTTTGAGAAGGCACCTGCCGACCAACTTGGACAGGGAAACCCCAACGTGCAACATCCCTTGAAGGAGGCAGACCAGAGCTTTACTCCGAACCCCAACGTGCAACATGATGTTCCTATGCCTTGCGAAGTGGCCGAGCCGAATGATTCTTCGAACTCCAACGTGCATTCTGCTGAGCACTCAGCTATCAAGCAGAATCCTCTTGATGCCGATGTTAGATGGTATGATCCTTTGATCCTAAAGTTTTTCTCGGGAAACGGTCGTGTCACTGCCTGCATGAAGCAGCTAGGCCTCTCGGCCTTCGGGGTTGATGCGGACCCTTCGACTTCAGTCACAACCTGTTTGCCTGCCGATCTGTCCACAAGCAGTGGGCAGGCTCTTTGTCGCGAGTGGTTTGCTTCTCCTAGGCTGGCTGGAATTTTTGCAACTCCCCTTAATCGTGGGGCGACCGCTGCAGCAGCCACTACTTTTCTGGCCGAGCTCGTTCTGGAGGCAATACCTAGAGGTGTCATCTGTGTGATAGGCGGGCCTATGGATGCTGACTACTGGGCAGACGCCTTCTTGGGCTAAAGTTTCTTCTAACTTTTCTTTTGTTTCATGCCATGACTGTGCTTACGATGGCGTGCATTTAAAGGCAACGGTGTTCGCCACTTCAAATAGAACTTTTGATAGGCTCGCGAGGTTCTGTCCGGGCACCTCCTGCCAAGCCAGCCAAAGCTGCCATCATACCGCGTCTGATTTTGCAGCCTACCCGACACGCCTTGCCATGCAGGTGGCTTGTTGTTTCGCAGAAGCCTTCAAACTTCAGGGATGGTCAGCACCGCCGTCTTGTTTCGATGCATTCGACCCTCGGCTTGAGGTTCCCATGTCGAGAGCAGTGGCAGGAGCCCAACCTCCTGCTAGCAAAATGCCTCCCATCGTGCCTGAACACAAGCGTGTGCTAGTTTTTCGCCATCCACCAGGTCTTGACTTGCCTTGTCAGCCAACGCAGCGTTTGAAAGCTGACTGGTCAGTGCCGGCTTCCTGCAGCCCAGGCCCGATGACTGTGCCTGCCAAAGCCCAGCTCTTAAGACATGTTTCAATTGCTCAAGTTGGGGGTGGTTGTGAGGACCTCCTGAGGGTTGGGTCTTGGGAAGTGGCCTGGGGAATTCCCTGGGAACCTGAGGAATTCATGAAAGAGGCGAACTCGGCACATCATCCGAGGACACTGGACTCCGTGGTGCCTCAGCCCCTCAAGGAAACTCTGGATGCTTTGGAAAACATGGATGATGCTGAAGTGACAGCCCTGCGTGCTAAGGTCATAAAAGAATGGATGCACTTAGCAGTTTCCTTGTCGGCCGAAGAAGATGCTCTGAAGTCGTCGATGCATCAGGATGTGTGCTCGATTACGAAGAGTAAACGTATTCTCTTGTGGGAGGCTCTTTTGGAAAAATATTCTTACCCTGACCCGAAGGTATCTGGCCTTCTAAGAGAGGGAGTCCCCCTCGTAGGTCATGCCCCGAATTTCTGGAGTTTTTAAGCCAAAATTTAAGCCCATGCAGGCTACACCCAGCCAAGTTAGAGAAGATTTTCTTTTCTACCGCCAAAAGGTTCATAAGTCCTTAAAGCGCCAGGAGCCCGCCTTGATGCAGGAGGTTGCTGCTAAAACACAAAAGGAGCTTGATGCAGGCTGGATCGCTGGCCCCTTGCGAGAGTCCGATCTGGGTAGAGGGATTCTGGTGAGTAGGCGGTTCGGTTTGCAACAAGGCGCGAAAGTGCGCTGTATGGACAATCTCACTTTAGTGATATTCTCTTATCCCTAGCCAACAGGTGGTATGACCACCGTCCTTGAAAATATTTTCCTCGTTTGCATGTATCTTTCTTTAAATGCGTTTTGAACTGCTTTGACTAGGAGTCAGAAAGTTTCAAAACATGTACCTTTTGTAGTTGCCCGCGAACATGTTTGTTTGACCATAAACCTTGCACTTGTTTTGATGAATGTCTGTGGATGCCGTCACTGACTGTGCAAGGTTATGGCTCTGAAGGCGGAGCAACATGAAAATTTTTGATGAGGGCCTGAGACCTGCATGTGTGTGCTAGTAGGACTCCAGGCTCGGTAACCCGGTGCTTCTAGAAAGCTGCCACCTCCTGTGGGGTGGTCCATGGATCATCGTGTGGCAAGAGTGCCGCATCGGCGTTTGATCTTGCTCTGGCTTACCGAAGCATCCCTTGATCGAGGCTGGAGGTCAGAAATCCTAGGTCTGAGTTTGCATCAATTGCTGGCTGCACTGCGGCCGGGTTCATTGATCATTTTGAGCCTCGGCCTGCCCGGAACTTACGCGTTGCAGAGTGTCAGCCGTGAGCATAGAGCCATTCTTGTGCAGACCTCACTGATTGTGTCCGACGAACGTCGGCGGCTGACCCTCCTGTATCACGGCGTGCAGCGTCGCTGAAGGCATGCATCAGCCGGTGGATGCAACCCCTCGGCCGCCCGGGGTTTTTCGGATGGGGGATTGGGCTCGGGCTAGGATTAGGAGCTCTCTTAGTCCGTATGGTCCCTCAGTGCATGCCGCAGTGGGGGCCCTACACGGACGGCCATGGGACATGCAGCCGCCGTGGGAGCAGGGTTCCTTGGGGGGGGTCCTAGGTTCAGGGTCCCTCTTAAAGCCTTTGGTCATGCCGCTTGACTATGCACCTTCGGTTCGGAGTGATCAGGAGGACCAGCCAAAGCGACCTCCGGTAAAGATTGCTAGGGAACCTTGGAAGGCTGCAGTGGTGCACTCGTAAGCTTGGGCTGATTCGGAGGATGATAGGCGCACATCGATTTTAGAAGTGTGGAAACTTCTAATCTTGA